ACCAAAAACAACAACAACAACAACAAACTTTTTAAGCAGATGATAGATGGATGGAATGTAAAGGAAAGGGGAAGGGTTATGAACTCCCATTTTTACCCCGTATACAGATTGCTGAATCACATCAGTTACATCAATTACATTTCCATTGATTTACATATTGCCATTCTAGTGTCTGATGAATTCTGCTCTCTATCCTAACTGTGAAATATGATATATCAAGTTAGATGTATTGTTTTGAAAGACCAACAATAAAAAAAATAAATAAAAAAAAAGAAAGGGGAAGGTATTTTGAGACAAAAGGGACAATAGGTGCAAAGGCAGAGCAATGGAAAAAAAGAGACACATATCTAGCAGAGAGGGTGAAACTTGAATCCTCTTGGTATGTTGAAGGAAAATATCCAATAGAAAAAGAAAGGTAAAAGATAATGGAAATAAAAGTAGGCTTACCTGAGTGAGCATTGAGACTGAAAGTTCAGATGAAAAAATTAGCTTTGAATAGAAGAGATATCCCTTCTTCTGAAATAGGTAAGAAGGGATTGTACAAACAGAATTTGGTTTGTTAGCTTCCAAGGGCAAATCCAAGGGTTGTATTGGAATAATACTTTTAAAAAATTAGACAAGTAAGAGTTTGAGAAGTCCACTGAAGTCTAAGCAGGGCAGGGGCAGGATGGTGGAAAGAGGTGGTATGAAATGACCCTGGAATATTCTGGATTTTGAAATACTTTATTTGCTAAGCTGAGGATTTAGGACTTTAACCTGAAGGTGATGGAGGGTCATTGAATGATAAACAATTTGGTGTCTCAGTTTCTGCCACACCCTCACAGTGGTTTAAGTTTGAATTAATGGTGGTGTGACCAAAAGAAGCATAGCAATCAGGAAACAATTATATGTGATTGCTATCTCCCACCCCCTTGCAATTTCAATTCACCCCTTTTCTGCTCTGGATCTACTGCCTTATATTTGTTGTTTTGCCTGCCATTATGTCAATAACTATTGTAATTTTTTATCATTCTCTGCTGAGTTATTAACAAACCTTYTCTCTAGGTAGATGGTCCTATCTCATGTTTCAGAGGAAATCAAGATCTTTAAGGGAGTAAACTCTTGATTTCTTCCCCACTGATACCATACCTGAAGCTAACAAATCTAATTCTGCTTGTACAATCACTTTTCCCTTCATATTCACTAGCTCTTCTACTATCCAAGGCAAATTCTTCAATATGATCTTTGAATCTCATTTCCTCTGCTCCTACAGGAATTTTTCTACAGTGAGCATCCCTATATTTACCTCTCTTCTTCTACTCATTCTTTCACTTTAGCATGACAAGAGGATTTAAGTATCACTCTTCTTGACTCAAAGTTCTCGTAGGTATGTCCCCCTTTTTCATTTACTACCAATTGCACAGAATGGTACTAGTCCTTGACTGACTACACTGTTTATTTCTTTCTATACTAGGACTTCTCAACTGAGATATTACTGACATTTTGGTYCAGCTGATTCTTTGTTGTGGGGCACTGTTATATGCATTGTGGAATATTTAGCACATTCCTTTAGATATCAGCAGCATTTCCTTGGTTGTGATAATTAAAAATATCTCCAGTTTGTCAAACAATCCCTGGGAATCAAAATCACCCCTAGCTGAGAAACCCTGTTTTAAAATATTTAAGACAATGAATGTGCTCTTGTTTACACATATCCTTATTGATAAATTAACAGATATTTCATGAGTGTTTGGTTACCCAATTCACTGTTGAAAYTCTTTCCCCCTTTGACTTATTTTCTGTATCACTTTGTTATTATTATTTTTTTCCCTCTTGTTCTGGCCCATCATCCATCTCCTCCTGGAATTTATTTTCATTCTAAACCTATAAAATATAAGACTTCTCTGGATAACTGTCTCCTTTTACTATACTTTGGGTGACCTCATAAAAATTATTGCTTCAATTATCACATGTAAAGTAAAGGAGTCTAAATCTCTAGCTTTAATCCAGTGCTCCCTCCTGACCTCCAGACCCATATGTCCAACAACCTGCTGGAATCTCCACTTTGGGAAAATCAAATTATACTTGTCCAAAAAAGACAGGTCCCATCTCCGACCTAAAGTCCCATGAACCCCACAAGTTGAGTTTTGCCATACAGTCTTTTTCTTGAATGGCATCACCACTCCACTATTTACCTGTCATCATAAATCTGGAAGCCTCTGACATTCTTTCTTCTTCTCCGTATATACAGTTAGTCATCCAGTATTCCTATTTTTTTGTATCTTTCTGTATATTCTCATTCTCCTTTCTACAATCCTCATAATTTTTATCTATCATTCATTTGGTCTCCCTCCACTATTCTTGCCCGGCTCTGACCCGTCTCCTATTCTGCTTATATAATGGCATCTGTAATAGTCATATTTTATTGTTATTGCYGATTCATTTCTTTAATGACTTTTCATAGTTTTAAGTAAAAAAAGTTAACTTCTTACCCTAAGCCAAAAAAGCCTTATTTGATCCATTTATATCTGATTCTCTTCCCTCATTTCTTGATTTTTCCACATATGACACATTCAGTAGATTTTCATAGATAATTTCACTCATGCTTTTTCAGATACAGAAGTTCATATCTTAGYATATATTGATCTTTCTGCCTAGAATATTATTTTTCTTTTGATTTTATTTAACTGCCCTCTCTCATGATGGAAAATTTAGTTCAAACATCACTTCYTGTAGATTTGTCTATAGTGTCCCATCTTTGTGTTCTCTGAGAAAGAACTACCACATCATCTTAACCCTTCCACATTATAGTGTAAATAATGGATTTACTTTCTGGATTTTGTAAAAACACTGGAAGTAGGGTGGCTATACTATATTTAGTACTTTCTGGGTCTCACATAATGTCTAACACAGTAAGTGCTTGATAAATGTTTACTGAACAAATAAACATTAAAGATACTAAAAGGCCTGGATGGATGAAGAATATGTGGAGGAATAGAGGGATTTGATGTATTTCAGAGGCAAAATTGGAAGGGTTTTATTGATTGATTAGAGGTAGGAAGCAGGAAAGAAAAGTCATAGATGACTTTTGGATTTCTAGTTTGGATAACCTGGTGCTATTGACTGAGACAGGAAAGAATAAGTTTAATAAAGAATAAGTTTAATAAGTTTTAGGATAGATGTAAATGCAATAAATCTATATTTATTCATATCCATATACTTATGGGTAGGAAGTATTAGAAATGGCTAAGCTCAATAGATATATAAGGTAAGCTACAAATATGATTAATCTTCTAGTAGCCATATTATTTTAAAAAAACAAGTGAAATTAATTTTGACAATATTTTTTAATTTAATCCAGGCTTTCAACTCTACTATTAGCATTTTGGGCCAGGGAATTCTTTGTTGTGGAGGCTTATCATGTAAGGGTAGAATGTTTTGCAGCATATCTGGCCTTTATCAAATTGATGTTCATAGCTACCCCATCATCCTTGAGTTGTGGCAATCAAAAATATGGCCAAATGTCATTAAACGTCCCCTGGGGAGTGGGGAGGAATAATCCCATCTTGAGAAAACTAATTTAATTCAATACATTCCAAATATTATTTCAAGATGTAATCAATATTAAATGGCATTAAAAATTTCACAATTCTTTTAGTGTACCTTTTGTAATTGAATATACTTTTCACTTAAGGTGAAAATAAAGGGGCTAAAGAAACCAATATTTGGCTCTTRCCCTCTAAGTCAGCCTGAACCCAGGACAGGGGAAAAAGCTTTGCAACTCCCGGCCACATAACCTCCCRATAAGGGAGATTAATGAGACYAATGGAGAACAGAAAGCCAATGAGTGTACATGCTGCAAAACAGGAGGGTCTTAAGTGAAAAGGACGATGGGGCAGCTATGAACATCAATTTGATTCTTGGGGAACCTGTGAGCAGCATTTTAGTTCTGTTAGTGCCATCTGCATTAGGATGGGTCAAGGTCTTGCTGATCATATGGCTTCCCTTGGAAGCATCAGGCATGTCTCCTTTTTAAATGACCCTCCTGTTTTGCAGCATGTATACTCATTGGCTTTCTGTCCTCTTATTGAGGATACAAGTCAAGAACTTTATGAAAAAAGGCTAGAATTGGAAATAAGGCTTGAGAGGTCATTAGGCTCTAGCAGTTAAAATCATGAAAATAGATGAATAATATGGAGAACATAAGTGAACAGAAGAGTACTGAGAAAGATAAGCTGATGCAAAAGGAGAGATTTAATGTTTATGGAATGTGAAATTGGTAAGCAATGTTTGGAGCATTATATAAATTGTTACATGAGATAAGAACATTTTGAGGCAAATAATGTTATCCCGATTTATTGGAGATTTATGAAAGTTTAATAAATCAGACAGCTGCTAAGGGATATCACTGAGTTTTTGAAGGAAAGTCTGTCTGACTTATGTCAGAATATATGTACCGTACCTACAACGTCCTGGTGGACATAACGAAACGTTTGCTATTTAACTGATTTTCATAATATAATTAAGAAGCCTCCTACGACTGTASAGCCAGAGTTCCCAGGATATTTATTACCACCTTTAACCCAATTTCGGAAGCAAATTCACAACACTGAGATGTGATCTTCATGTCATTAGCGCGTAATGATGATTTGGGTTTCATTCATTGTGAAAGACATTAAACCATGTTTTTGTTGTAAGTGTACGTTAGTTAATTTTGTAGTTGTAATTTTTAGTTAGGAAAAACTTAATCAAGATACAGTCAAAATTATGCTGAAATACTGAACGCATAATCGTTTAAGAAAATAAAATAATGAGCTTTGTAACACCGGTTGGTTTCAACAGATTGTTAAAACGACTACAAAGGGGCAGGGCCGGGGAAAGGGGGCGTGGCCGTCMGAAGCAATCTGAGCAAGCGCAGAAAGAAACAGCTGTTAATGGAGGCGTGAAGGCTGGTGCGCTGTGGCTTTCCGAACTGTCGTAAAGGCCCCCAAGTGTCGCGCTCGCCCTGTAGGAGAGGGATTGGTTAGGCGGCGGCGGCGGCAGCAGGGTAGGAGAGCGGCATCGGCGACGGTGATGGTGGCGAGGTGTTCTGTGTGCGCAGCATAGAAACACCCGCAGTTTCGGAGAGGGAGTTCCTGTGGGATCACATTAAGCACTCGGAACCCAAGCTGGGTTAGCCTGGGCCGAGTCCAGACGCTGCCGCACGTACAGTTCTGGTGGCGGTGACAGACGCTGCGCTTGACTACAAGGGCCTCTCAGGCTGAGTTCTGAGGCGCAGATCGCTGGCTCTCGACGCATTCTCTTCCCCTCCTTACCTTTCCTGTCTTCCTTCCTGGATCTGTGCTTCCCGGACCCTGGGAAGAGGGTGGCTAATGATTAAGGTGAGGGAAACAGGGGGGAGGGGAGCGGCTGAGGCCGCGCGTGCGCGCAACGGGGGAGGGGCCGGCCCGGAGGGGAGAAAGAGGAAGGGCTGCGGCCGCGGAAGACTGGGGTCGGCGACCGGCCGCTGCCTGCTGTCTCCGTAGTGACTCAGGGTCCCGTCTCAGCAGAAGATTTAATTGTGTTTGGGTAAAGCTTTTGCCTCCCGACACACCCACAGCCTACAGTGCTGGGTTGGGGGCGACGGGATTTCTTTCCCCGTTCGCCTCTCGCTAGTCTCGGGATGGGGGCTGAGGACTGAGGCGTGGGAGTTCGATTTGACAATGGAGTGATGAAGGTAACCCGGACCCGGGGACTTGGAGGGCGCTAGGTCAGTCCTGAYGGTTAGGGAGTTGCCTTCTTCTATGATCAAGGAAACGTAGTCGGCCGAACAGCAGAGACATAGACGCGTCAGATTTTGTGTGGAGTTGGTTTGTTGGTCATTAAAGAAAGAAAAATATTTCTAGTATTGCCTAAAATAATTTATTAGTCAGTAGYAGTGCGGTAGTGGGAATATTTGTTCTGTACTGCAGCAGTAAAGGTTTGCCCCCATAGTTCTTAAATAGGTTATAGTAGCGCCTTACAGATATTTCTTAACGCAAGTGTAAGTTTTAGCGTTTAAAAAAATACCAGGAAGTGTAAGATATTCATTTAATTTGTTCATGTTTGTGGTGTGGGGTGACTCCATTGTATTGTTGTAAGCTTTCCTGTTTCTTGATTTATATGCAGTATGAATTTAGTACTCTTGAGTAGTAATGTGCAAGCGGACATAGACTTCCTTGTAGGAGTTCTTACAGATGTTGAACCTGATAATCCAAACTTTATTTCATTTGGTTTTATTTTTCTCTTATTTTGAGGATTTCTACAACCAAAAAGAACAGACTGAGAAAAAGATAAGCTAAGGTTCCATTTCCTTTCCCATTGTGTGTGTGTACGTGTGTGTGTCATTGCTTGCAAAAGCTTGAATGTGATTTTGAGATTATATAGAAATTCTTTCCGTAATACTGGTTTTACTTGGTTTTTTTTTTTTTTTTTTTTTGGTGTGTGAAGATCTCTGTTTGATAGTTTGTTACCTTGTATTTTTTAGTAAAAATGTTCATGTCAGTTGAATAACTGTTAAACAATAATTTTTGGTTACATCTGTGAGGCAAAAGAAATGAGAAGGAAGCCCTTTTATTCTGAAAATAATTTAAATTTATTTAAGCTTTGAATTATTTTACTTTGATCAATCTTACCATTTAACCTTGAACAAATGACTTTATCATCTATTGCTCATTTGTTTGACATTTATGATTTACAGTATTAGTCAGGAATTAGCCAGGGTGTTCATGAATTGGTCTGAACAATATTTTAGAAACAATTATGAAGAGTCTCCTTGATTATCAGAGGTACTAGCTTATGTGTGTGGATCCTTCTGTCTCTTTCCCTTTTGGTTGCTGTGTGTTGGTCCCAGTGTGTTTCTAGTTGTTTCACTAGAAATAGAGTTGATTTCTTTTTCTTTTTCTTTTCCTTCTTTCTTTCTTTTTCTTTTCTTCCTTTTTTTTTTTTTTTGCTTTGGGGGTCTTGCTGTATTGCCCAGGCTGGTCTCGAACTCCTGGGTGTAACCTATCCTTCTACTTCAGACTCCCCGACTACAGTTGTGCACCACTGTACCCTGGCTTAGAGTTGGTTTGAAGAAAGGTATAGTAAAAATAATCTCATTTCAGTGAAAAATGTTAATTTCACTTTGGTACTCTATTTCTACACATAACTGAAGCACAGCTGTATTGATCTTTAAAGTAAGAAAACAGCAGATTAAGTGTATAAAGCAAAGAAATAATCATTTTGGATACTCCTAAGAAGTTATTTTTATTTTCAAATAAAAACTGAAGTAAAAAAAACTCACGAAATTATAAATCCTTTAGATTGCTAGACATTCCTTTTATTTTTGTTAAAGGTGGATTTTGGTATCATGATTTACTTAAATATTTATATGTGCCCCTGTTTTGACCCCCCCCAACCTTATGCTAGGACTTCAATAGGTAGAAAGATGACAGTACAAAAAATGATAGTAATTAAAATATGCTATAAATTGACATTAACTTTGGGAGTGACATTGTCTTATGAAAGTATAGAACTAGGGCTGGGGTGGTAGGTAGCTCAGTGGTAGAGTGCTTGTCTCGCATGTGTGAAACACTGGGTTCAATCCTCAGCACCACATAAAAGTAATAAATAAAATAAGATATTGTGCCCATCTACAGCTAAAAAATAGTATAGAACTAGAGACAGAAATCAGAATTTTTTATTCATTTTTGAGATCTAGAGTTTAGATTTAGGTTTGCTTGGTATACATTGGATCTTTTGAGTTTATTGTTAAAGCTTTCTTGGTCTTCATAGCTTTCTCAGTTGTTGAAAAGTATAGGACAGGTAATTCTGGTTTATTCTAGATCCCAAATTTAGTRGCTTGTATTTTAGGTGTTTGGGTTATTTAATCATGATCAAATTACCAGAAAGAAATAATATCTATCTCCCCATCTAACCCCTCCCAGTCATAGAGGTTTATTTAGGAAAGTTGATACATATTCAAGGGAGAATGGAGGTGATCTYGAGAGAAAGGCCTTTGGGGTAAAGCAAGAAATATGCTTTCAAGGGAGAATGTGGGCTATCTCTAGAGGGAGAGACAGCCTGTATATATTTTACATATGTATAAAACCTATGATGAAGCTATGTTTGTTGTTCTAGGTAGTAACTGTTTTTAGATCATTGTGAATAATTTTTCTTTCAGAAACCTGTAATTATTGTTTTAAAGTCTAGAATTACATTTGAGTGTCTGACACCTCTGTTCTTTCTTAAATCCCATAGATTTTTGGTAACAGCTTGCCCAGGTTGCTACAGGTACTCAATTTATACCRTTAGATGAAGAGAGCTACAGATGTTTAAAACCAAATGCTTTGCTGAATTTGCATTTTAAATTGAGATACTATGCTTTTAAGTCTCTCAGTAAGTATTTATTCAGTATCTCATATTCTAGGCACTGTCATTGGTCTTCAGTAGAAAGGCACTCTGCCTTCATGGAGTAGACATTCTTTTGGGCAGAAACAAAATACACAGAATAGTTTCAGGTGGTGGTGAGTGCCAAGAAGAAAGTAAGATCACAAAATAAATAATGAATGGAAGATGGGGTTCTACTATGAATTGAGGCCATTTTTCAGGGGTAATAATTTTTTTTTTGTTTTTTTTTT